AATGTGATAGTTCTTGGCAAGACTGCACATTGAATTTGAAATTTTAAAAATGAGCAAAGAAGATCTAGAAGTAAATAGGGAAAAATTGAAATTAATTTTTTTAATAGTGAGACATATTTGAAACATAAAGGACATGACAATGATATTTCAAATGTCAACAAATGAAACAGCCCTGAAATGTATATAACACCAAAGGAAAAGGATTATAGTTAAAATTATGAAAAGATGTTTTTAAAGATTCCAAATGAAAGTGTTTTGACTGGTGGTGTTCTGGTAAATGTTTAAAAAAGCAGCTAGGGGAGAAAGAGGAAAAGCCGTGATTTGTGAAGTTTGCCAATTTCCGTAGTGTAAATATCCCCAACGTGATCAATTTCAAGCTATCAGCATGAAGTCACTGAACTCAGAGTCAGGAAGAAATGTGCCCAGTGATTCTCATGAGCCAGTGAAAGTCATTTCCAAATGATATTGTTTGGTTCTGTGCCCCTACCCAAATCTCATCTTGAATTGTCATCCTCACGTGTCAAGGGAGAGAGGTGTTTGGATCATAGGAGTGGTTTCACCCATGTTGTTCTCATGTTAGTGAGTGAGTTCTGATGAGATGTGGTGATTTTATGAGATATGGTGTTTGATAGTTCGTCTTTCAAATGCACTCTCGCCTGCCACCATGTAAGACATGCTTTCTTCCCCTTTTGCCATGATTTTAAGTTTCCTGAGGCCTCTCCAGCCATGCAGAACTGTGAGTCAATTAAACCTATTTTCTCTATAAATTACCCAGTCTTGGGTAGTCCTTTATAGCAATGTGAAATGGACTAATACAATTAATTAGTATGAAGAATGGGGTGCTGTTATAAAGATACAGAAAATGTAGAAGCAACTTTGGATCTGGGTCATGGTCAGATGTTGGTACAGTTTGGAGGGCTCAGAAGACAGGAAGCTGTGGGAAAATTTGGAATTTCCTAGGACTTACTGAATGGTTTTGATCAAAATGTTGATAATCATATGGACAATGAAGCCCAGGCTGAGGTGGTCTCAGATGGAGATGAGGAACTTCTTGGGAAGTAGAACAAAGGTCACTCTTCCCATGCTTTAGCAAAGAGACGGGTAGCATTTTGCCCCTGCCCTAGGGATCAGTGAAACTTTGAAGTTGAGAGAGATGATCTGAAATTGGAACTTATATTTAAAAGGGAAGCAGAGCATAAAAGTTTGGAAAATATGCAGCCTGATGATGCAATAGAAAAGAAAAAAAAAAAAAAACATTTTCTGAGGAGAAATTCAATCTGCTCCCAAAATTTGCATAAGTAATGAGAAGCTGAATTAATCATCAATACAATGGGGAAAATGTCTCCAAGGTATGTCAGAGATCTTGGTGGCAGCCCCTACAATCACAGGCCCAGAGACCTAGGAGGGAAAAATGGTTTCCTGGGCTTAGCCCAAGACCACTCTGCTCTGTGCAGTCTCGGGACTTGGTTCCCTGTGTCCTAGCTGCTCCAGCTCCAGCTGTGGCTAAGGGGGACCAAGGTACAGCTCAGGCAGTTGCTTCTGAGGGTGAAAACTCTAGCTTTGGTGCTTCTACATGGTGTTGGGTCTGCATCTGCAGGTGCACAGAAGTCAAGAATTGTAGTTTGGGAACCTCCACCTACATTTCAGAGGATTTATAGCAATGCTTGATTGTCCAGGCAAAAGTCTACTGCAGGGTTAGAGCCTTCATGGTGAATCTTTCCCAGGGCAGTGTGGAGGGAAATGTGGGGTCAGAGCCCCAACACTGAGTCCCCACTGGTCACTACCTAGTAGAGCTATAAGAAGAGGGCCACCATCCTCCAGATCCCAAAATGGTAGACCCACTAGCAGCTTGTGCTGTGTGCCTGGAAAAGCCACAGGCATCAACATCAGCCTGTGAAGGAGCTGCCTAAGGCTGTGGAAGCCCATCCCTTGCATCCGCATGCCCTGGATATGAGACTTGGAGTCAAAGGAGACTATTTTAGAGCTTTAAGAGTTAATGACTGCCTCAGTGGATTTCAGACTTGCATGTGGCCTGTAGCCCCTTTGTTTTGGCCAATTTCTACCATTTGGAATGGGAACATTCATCCAATGCCTGTATCCCATTATGTCTTGAAAGTAGCTAACTTGCTTTTGATTTTACAGGTTCATAGGTGGAAGGGACTTGCCTTGTCTCAGATAAGACTTTGGACTGTTGACTTCTGAGTTAATGCTGAAATGAGTTAAGACTTTGGAGGACTGTTGGGAAGACATGATTGGTTTTGAAATGTGGTAAGACAGGAGATTTGGGAAGGATCAGGGGCACAATGATATTGTTTGGCTCTGTGTCCCCACCCAAATCTCATCTCAAATTGTAATCCTCACTTGTCAAGAGTGGGACCTGTCTCTCAACATCCTCACATGTTGAGAGAGGGAGGTGATTGGATTATGGAGGCAGTTCCCTCATGCTGTTCTCATGATAGTTCTCATCAGATCTGATGGTTTTATGAAGGTCTTCCTTCATATTCTGTCTCACCTGCCACCATATAAGACATGCCTGCTTTCCCTTCTGCCATGATTGTAAGTTTCCTGAGGCCTTCCCAGCCATGTGGAATGGTGAATCAATTAAACTTTTTTTCTTTCTTTTATTATTTTTATTTTTTTACAAATTCTTGTGAAGTTCTTTGTAGCAGTGTAAAAACAGACTTATACACCAGAAAACCATTGGAATAATCTTCATAGCATTTTAAAAAGTGGAGATTTTAAGATTTAATTGGTAATTTAATTTATAAGATTTAATTGGTAAAGGTAAAGAGTGTCTTGTGCCTGGTGGTACGCACTTTCACATTTAAAGTAATGAATGAGATAATGTGGCACAATTGAAAATGATTGAGACCATGCAATCAAAAACTCATGGACCTGAATCCCAGCATCATAACTTAGTCTGTGATTTTAACAAAATTATCTGCTTTATCTGTCTTAATTTAATTTATTGATTTATTTAATGGATGAAAATTGTATATATTTATGGTGTACAACATGAAATATGTATATATTATGGAATGGCTATATCAAGCTAATTAACATATGTATTTCCTCATATATTTATTATTCATTTATGTTAAGAACTCTTAAAATCTCTCTTAGCAATTTTCAAGCATAGAATACATTGTTATTAACTATTGTCACCATATTATACAATAGAGCTCCTGAACTTATTCCTCTCACCTAACTCATATTTTGTAATCTATGACCAACTATCATTCTTCTTCCTCGGGTAACCACAATTCCACTCTGTTTCTTTGAGTTCAACCTTTTTAGATTCCAAATATTCAGGCTTCAATTATTCACCTGTAAAATTCTGCAAAATTGGAACCATTTAGCAAACATCTTAAAAAGAATAAAAGACACAATAGAGAGAATAAACATGAATGTATCTGGTATGTAAGTAGATTAGAAATTATTATTTTTCTTCCATCTTCTATACTACTTATTTCCTTCTAGCTGTACTTACTCAATATAAAATACTAAATTGAGATCAGAATATGAATTACAACATACCTATGTAGCTACTTGAAAATTACTCTTACATAGGAGAGAAAGTTATGAGAAATGCAGGCACCAAAGGAGGAATTCAGTACCCACATTCATTTTCTTTCCCATCTTTGATGAAATTTAAGAAGCTATGGGTGATGACACATATATAATTTTCATGACCATATTTTGTCACTTATTATTTTGTAACCTCTATGGTTCAGGAAAAGGAAGTCAAGGAATGTGAAAGGGGTATTTAGTGGACCAACCTATGGTATTTGCTACAAAAATACAATTCTGCAAAAGGTAGAAATGATGTGTCATGGGAATTCATGAAAGAAAATAACTTTTGGCTATAATAAACAGGGTGTTTTAAAAACCTGACATTAAAAATAGTGTCTACAGTGTTTTAATAGATGAAGATCAGATTTAGAACATTGTGGGTGAATCAAAAATTATATATATAAACTAATATAGAAGTAGAAAAGATTTTTTTTTAATTAAAAGGTAAGTAGCTTAATACATTCCAAATGCAAAGTAAACTTAGAGAGTATCAGAAAGTGTACTAGCTTGGTACTAGGTTGGCAAATGAGTCTATGGATTTGTTTATTTCCTATGTAATTACCATATTTGAAGATGCATACACTGTATTAACTGCTTTATTTATGTTTTTATTTAATTTCCAAATGATACTAAAAAGAAAGCATCGTGCCATTTTTATGAAGAGGGAACTGATGACCAGTTTACATTGATGATCTAAGGTTATGCAATTTATCACTCAAAAAACATTAAAAGTTTTTGACAAAGGGAGTAACATGATGGAAAGTGTAAGTTCCTGCAGTTATTTGACATTAGCAAATTAAAATTCTTGCCGTACTTTACACTGAAAGCAAAATTAGAAGCTATTGATTACTATAGATGCCAATGGTTTATTCTTCATATAGCATATGGTAATGTCTTAAAAGCATTCCTTCTAAAAAGAAGGGTGACCCACCCAGCCCCCAGCATTTCACTCACCTCCCTCTTTGCAGCATATCAGTGAAGGAGCTTTTGCATTTTCTGGTGTATAAAACAAAAGTTATATAGGCAATTATTAAACCCAAGTTTTTATTGAGAAATAAGTTAATCCATCTACTCTCATGAAATGTACTAGTTTAGATTCATTTTTCAGTGATATTTGCAGAGAAGTGAACCTTGAGCAAATTTGAAACATGACAGGAAAATGTGATTAACAAAAGGACTAAGTTTCCAAACACGATTCAATTCAAGAAGAGGAGCTTAGTTGAGTGGCTATGGAAATATCATCCTCTTGTGATTGTTCTTACTGAAATCATCATTAACCTTCAAATTGATAAATTCACAAAACAATCTTCATCCCTCATCATGTCTGATCACTTGGCAGCATTTGACCATGACTTACAGAAACTATTTCTTGAAATATTTTAAGTTAGTTTCTATAATAATGTTCTCCTCTATTTTTTTTTTTACATTTTAAGCTTTCTTTCCATATTTTATAGAATTTGTTAATTTGTTTTTTGTTTTGCTAGTACTTGGAGGCCAACAGGAAGTGACAAAAGCAAATGGGTAAAAGACTGAAAAATAAAGTATTCTTAACCTGATGTAAACTTTCTTCACGATCTGGCCCCATGTGCATTTCCAACTTTACCTCTGGACCAGATTAATTTGCCATTGCGATCTTCTCAACTCAGAAGTACTTAATAATCATATTCTAATCAAATCTACCCAGAGTGTCTATAGAAGTTGCTATTTAATTTACTGGGATTTTACAGCTCCTATTTGTATAAATTTATAATTGAACTTACTATATGTTTGCATAGTTTATGTCTAAAAGATATTTCCCCCACTCTCAGTCTGAATGAGCAAAGAACATGCGTTTAATCCTTCTGTACCTATTGACTAGTGACTAAAATGAAGTTAACAGAATCAGCAAATACATGTTTAACTAGCAAATGAAAGTTCAATGAACTAATACTACGTGATTTTCTTATTAGTAGTACCATCTTGGTCAAGTCTCTCAACTTTTTTGTGTCTTTCTTTACTTACTTGCAAAATGTATATAACAATTATTGCCTTCCCCTTTTAAAATGTCACAATATTTTGGTATCAAAATTAGAAAAATGGTTACAAAGGTATTTATAAATGTAAGGTATTGTGTATAGAAAATAGATCATTTTGAATGTTTCGAGCTTATAGTTTTACTAAATTTTCAGATAGCCACACAGGCATGTGTGAGTACACACACAAGATAGCCCATGAATAAAATGAAATGTTGCTGTATTTCCTATCTTTATTGATTCTTATGTTTATCAATGTGTGGAAAACGTATCAGCTTCGCTGATTTGGTAGCCCTATACTTGAATGCTATCATGGGGGAGACAGTTACTCCACTTGACAATACGTTTTAAATCATCGCTATTGTTTTCTTAGATTTTAAATTCTTGAAAGATGATAAGTACAGCTCCATATAGTGTGCAATACATTATTATACAAAAACAGTCAATACCAAGCATCTTTGATAGTGATAATAACTTTCTGAATGGTAATAAGCATGGTCAGAAGCAATAAAAAGTCGATAATTAATTAGAAAAGTCAGGCAACAGTCCTTACCATCCCCACTGCAAAATTCCTACACAGAGAGGTATGCATTTTAGCTTGTAAAACATTATTTACCAATCCTTGAAATTGGACCAGTCAGGAATACTACACTTGTTGCATAACTTGAGTGCTCTGGTATTTTGTCATTGTTTTGTATATGAACTAACCAACACTTTTGGCAATACTGCAAACTTAAATTTTACAAATGATATGCATGGCAGAAATGTGACTTTATTGCTGTTGCAAGCTATCTTTTAGATGCCTTTATGCCAAGTGACATAATGAAAGTTTAAATTAAAAAAGTTAAAGTTGACAAATGATAAGACTACAGAGATGATGTAACTGTATGGCAAAGTTTTCGTCATTTATTGGTTTCCCGATGCCATCTCAGTACTATTGCTCATGTTACTGATGAATTTATGCTATATAAAGCACACCTCAATCAAATTCAGGAGAGTTAGCAGAAAAATATTTTTCATCAAGGATGGAATTGACAAGTACAAATTCTGTGGAAACTGTCTGATAAGCTTCAGAAACGGCACTCTACAATTTTAGGATTTCAAAAAGACAGCATTATCAGGAAGAAAAACAAGAGTTATTGTCATTTATCTTTGGTTGTTTTAATGAATTATACAAACACAGTTTAACTCTGAGAATTTTGTGCATATTATTTGCATTTTGTTGATGGCGCTCTCAGCAAAGAAACTTTGGCTAAGCTGTAAAGCAGCCCTCTGAATGAATCATACAACCTGCAAAGAGCTGTACTAAATATATCCCTATATATGACAAAAGCTTCAAGTCTTTCCTAACATTTATATTATTGATACAAATCAACATAGAGATCAGAGAGTTTTAAAAGTAATGCATGCACAAGGGAATGGGCCTAAAGGAAGGGTGACAGTGGAGCAGCTTTGGGCTCACTATTTGGCACAGCAGGGTTGCATTCCTATGTTAATTGTAAACAACTAAAACATACGTGTATTTAAGCTATCCTGCCAAGTACCGTACCAAGAAAGCTACTTGCAAAGCGAGGCGTCTCCAGCATCAGAAAAATCTGGGGAGCAGTAAGAATGGTGGAAGATGATGACCCAAACTTAAATGTGCAGTTGATCCACAAGAGACCGCAATCCTGCCATGCCAAACAGTAGGTGGGTGGGCTCCTTCACTGCCCCCCTCTTCTCAGACTCCCGTCCTCTATTTCCCTAGCCCTGCTTCTCTCAGATTATGCTTTCCCCTGTTGACCCATCCACAAGTCTACAAGGTGCTCTAGGCTTCTTTCCCTTGTCCAATGGGAAAGAAGCCTAGAGCATGAATTTATGGAGCACTCACTCAGAGTTGTGCAACTGCTTCTTTAACTTTGCACCCTAGACCCCTCATTTGCCTCACGCTAGTCCCAGGTGTTGGAGGTAGACCATGGTGTAGCTGGGTAACTTAGAATATATTCCTTAAGCTCCGCAGGAATTTGACCAGCCTCAACAACTATCACCTAATTGGTAGTTTAATAAACATATATTGCATATTTGTTCCCCTCTGTCTTCAGCTTTGGCGTAAAATTCCAGGAAACAGAAAAACATATCCTTCAATATCCTGTTACATACAAAGCAACAGAGAGCATTCACTCCCAGTGTTTCACTGTGAAACACAGTTCAGTGACTTATCTCATGTGCACACTGTTTTACTTCATTTAAACATTTCTGCATGTTTAGTATCAACAATAAGATTACCGTCAAATTATCAGTAACCGAGGGTATGCATTGCATACTGCCAAGGTTCTACTTAAAATAATGTTACCAATTGTCACTATGACTTTGCATAGTTGTTTTCATTTCCCCATAACCAGACACACATGCAGGTATTTGTGGTTTTGGTATATGAAATCCATTGTTATACGATTTTTTTGTTTGTTTAACTTTGGAATATTTTACGTATTTATGCTGGTTGTTTTATCTTTTGACTTATGTTTAGAGGGCAGTTTTATTTTTTACCTAATTTGTGGGCTTGAATCTTCTGGGTTCCTGGAAGAATATTAGCAAATTACCTCATGTTAACTAAACTCTCAATTTTATTTTCTCTCTTGCTTTTTTAAAAAAATCTTTAGGTATCATCATTGCCATTTCTTTTTTAAAAATCACTTTTCTGCTGATTTTCCACATTCATACCTATGCTGAAATTTGGCAAGTTGTATAAAGAATTAAAATTAGATATGTGAATTATTTATTAATGAATAAACTTTATAATGATGAGTATCTCCATCATGCCAATATATAAGGTTATAAAGTTTTAAAACGCATATAAGATAAAAGAATATTAGCTAATAGGAGCAAAAATATTTTTAAATATTATAAATTGCCCAAAATGAGACTCAATATTAATTAGTATTTCAACCAAAAATTTATGATTACTGTTGACAAACTACAGATTTAAGTAAAATGAGGAAAAAGTTAAATAACAAATGTGAGCTATTTAACTCTTAAAATTATTGGACCTGTTTTCAAGGTTATTACAATGCTATATATAATTTTAATTCTTAATATTCTGCATTTTATATTTCTGTGTAGATATGTTAATCTCCCTTGGAAGAATAGAAACACTTTAACCCGACTTCAAAAGATAGTCATAATGAGCGAGTCTAAATCCTAAAACATGATGAGCAAAGATAAAAGACCAGAGTTCAGTAAAGATTTCCTGGAATCATGACCCATTTTAACATGATTTATGCCCAAATATGTTTGTCATCATCAAGATGTCAAGAACTATGAAACAGGATAGTCACATAGTCACTAATTACATCAAAGATGTAATTAGTCATTTGGATATATGCTAAAAAGTTTTAGAACAATTATTCAATAGCGCTTCATAAAATATCTTTGAATTCTTTGAATGTGAAAAGTAAATTTTAATAAACTTGAGAGTTGTTTAATAAACAAGCATACAATATTAGTATACTTGATTAAAATCAATTATATAAATGTATTATAATTAGCATTACCCGTTTTCTTTCTTAATAGGAAAGGAATGAACATAAAGTGTCTAAGATTTACAGATTCACACAACAATAGTATTTATAAACTTATTAATGTTTTGGAAAGTTCTGCATGACTATTAACTCAGATAAATTAAATTCAAATTTATCTTGAAGGGAACTAAATATGACTAAATCAAAACTTAGTAAGCATTCATGAAAATGTCAAATCAACTATCTTTCAACTGAAGGTAATATTAATTGATTTTCTAACTGATTTAGACAACAAATAATAGAATTGCCAATAAATAAACCAGCCCTTTGGTAATATTTGATATTTCATACAGTTGTGCTTTAGTCAATATTTTACTTCTACCTGAAAATACTAAATAATGAATGATGTATATTTTTGGTGCACAGAGATTGTCTAAATTAAATTATATGAAAAAATTTTCTGCATTGTTTTTTAATTGAAAAGTCCTGTAAAGAATTCCAGAAACTCATAAGTTACATTTTTGTATGAATCTTTTATTTTCAAAATACTACCAAATACCTTATCTGCATTGATACTCACATCTGCTCTATGAAATAGAAAAGGCCAGCGTCTTCGGTTTGTTTTTGCTTTTGTCTTCTCATGAGAAATTGAGCCTATCTTACATATCCAGTTATCTTATGATGCGCTGCTTTTAATTCCACAAAGCATAGAATGTAGCATGCCATTAGCTTATTTTATGTTAAAACGTTCATGATTTGATATCCCTTACCTTCTAGAAATATTTCCATCATCCCTCAAGTCCCAAAATGTTAGCGATTGACTTTTCAGTTATTTGCTAATACTGTTTCTGCTCCCCTGTGTCAGGGATGATAGTGTCATAGGGAGCGTGTCAGTGAAACCGCTGTCACAAGTGTCCTGGTTAAGTTTAATTCCAATTCTCTGGTTGATTCTCTAATCAAATATCTAGTAGACATTAATAAACATTACTTACAAAAGGAACAAGACAAATATTCTAATTTAGTATGCATTTCATAATGCAGCTATTATAGCTGACCTTCATCTTCCCCCGAAAAAAGACTTTTTCTTTTCTTGACATCTAAACTTAACATTTTATTTCAAAAGTGGGTAGTGGTTGGGGAGAGGAAAAGAAAGGTAACAATTATTTGAGAGGATTAGCCAGGATATATTATGGCTGGGAAAATTTCAGAAGAAAAGAAGTAATTTGTTTTATTTATTTATTTTTCTAAGGAGGAGTTTAGAGGAGAATGAACTGGACTGTGAGCCTTTCATGAACTTCTCAAAAAACAGGAACATGAGGCGAAATGGTGAGGAAAACCCACAATTCAATCTACTACAACACGGTAAGCATTTCCAGCTTTAAACCATGAAGAAAAATAAATTGAGAATTAGTGAAAAAAAAAAAAGAAACCATGGTAAATCAAAGAACAAAATGCAGAATAGATACTGGAGGGATGAAAGTCTGTATGAGTCCTGCTTCCAGGAAAGGCCCTCAGCCTCCCTAGGTGCTGGGATTAAAGGATTAAACCAAACAAAAACAAAAAAGCTAACATACGCAGAAGTCTCCCAGATCTTTATCCCAGCCCTGAATCCCCTATGATTTCTTGCTTAGATATCAAAGACCTATAAATCTTCCCTTGTATGTCTACTCAGTGCTTCAAAATATATATGTACTAAATTGACTTTCTGATGTTCCATCTAAACTTGTTCCTCACCAAATGTTTTCTATTTTTATTATAGCCCTACTATACTCTTGGTTGCGTAGGCCAAAAATTGGGGGGTTTTACCTTTGTCCAACCCGTCAGCAAGTTCTGTGTGTCCTACTCCAATACATATCCCTAATGATGCCCTTTAAAATGCTGCATGACTGGATACCTGGCCGGTATTTCAATCTTGTCTATGTAAAACAGATCTTTTCACTTATCACTCTTCATGGTACATTATCCCTCCTAGAAATTATCTTTCTCTGTTAATTTATGTCTCTCTCTATATTGGGAAAATGCTTTTTTCAGTTTTCTTCTCAAGCCCACATGGAGGACTGGAATAGTGTCTAGCACAAGTATTGCAAGCACTCAATAAACCTTGTGAATGAACGAATGAATCCATAGCCATCATATTGATGGGAATCACATTGACAGCTGCACATGATCATCAGCATCCTAGACTGGGACGTGTGTATAGGAGTACTTTCATAAGCACGTTATTTCTTTACAAAATACATTCTTGGCATTACTTTTGACTTCAAAGAGTCAAAAGTGCCAAATGAACTCAAATTAAATAATAAAATTCTGTTTTCAACTCAAAACAATTCTAAAAGTATGAAAACTCACAAAACAAGGCAAAAGAAACTCTTTGTTTCTATTTTGAATTTTTCATTTTTCCAGCCACCTCCTCTCTAGCTTCTGAATTTTTACACTGACAAACAGATTTTGTGTCTCTCTTCCCATAGCTAAAAATTATGTTCAAACTTGATAATAGTGATTATAAGAAGTATCATTATGCCAATTATTTCAAATTGTGCAACAGCCAAAGCCCATAAACATATGTCATGGCAATAAATCTGTTTTCCTACTCTTTGTAATGTCTTATTTGCCCTAGCAACTTTTCAGACAACAGCTATAATAAATTGACTCTCAAGTGTGACCTGCCTCTCTCCCATTGCAAGACTAGTATCTGTTTCAGAAGTTACAGTTGTGTGTGATCTATTTAAATGATCCTGAGTAATTGTCCTCAGAGCTGTCCTGACAACCCTGATAATGAGTTTTAGAGCCCTTGATATTGTAGTTTGCCTGGGCTTGAAATATATTAATTACCAGAAATATATGAAATGTGAGGTTGTAAAATCCCTGACTTTTCTCACCTGAATCTAATAAATCACTAAAATATGTATTGTTGCTTTCATGTCACATTGACCTGGTGCTTGTTTTCCCTTCTATATTCTGTATGTTGTTTGATGGTTCTTTCTCCAGTTTCTCATTTCAGGAGAGTCATTCCTTAATGGCTGCCTCTTCATTTCATACATCCAATTGGTCACTATATCTTCTCAATTCTTCACATAAAATATTTTTGGGATTTATGCTCTTTTCATTAGTACCATGGCCTACTTTAAAAATTGACCCATTTTAGCCTCACAGAGTTGCACTCGCCTGGCTTCTAAAGCTGTCACCCCTTTCCCATAAAACCAGAGAGGAATTAGCTTAGAATTATGTTACAAAGCCTTCTCCCTGAAAGTAAAATGGTTGTCTTGCTGCTATGTACGCAACAACAGAAGTACCACTTAAGACAGGAGATTCTACAGAAAGAGCATACGTTGTGATATCAGACAGGCAGGGTTTTAGATCCCATTTTAGGGGCATACCACCGCCTCTATCAGTTGTGTCATCTCAGATAAGTCCACTTCTCTGGAACTTAGTTCGACTACATTTTACACACTTCATAGGATTGTTGTGAAGACTAAGTAAGATCATGTGTATTAAAAAGTATTTGCTGTAATGTGTTGGATGCTTGCTAGATGATAATTTTCCTTCTTGCGTTCTCCTGCCACATCTAAGCACCATCGATGGTACCAGAACCTGTCTGCAGGAACTCCGCATGCTTTCCCAGTTCTCCTGTCCTGATATCATTTGGAGACCAGGGATATCTTTATTTCTCAAACAGTATTAGAGAACCTGGATGAGACCATATTGTGTCTCAGGGAACCTGTGTGATCAATGCTTCTGCAAATCTTCCTTCTATAATAGCTGGAAACTGTTTCTCTTCATCCTATTTTCTTGCTCACACATCAATGATTTCCCTGCGGTTACAAACAAAAATAAATATTTCATAGCCTTTGCTATTCTACCCTTGCATATTTTTATGAAATTAGCTCTGCCACTTATTCTTTTTGCCTACTTGGCTTTCTTATAAAGTCCATGTTCTTTCAGTGCTCTGTACTTTACACAGCCAGCCTCTGCAATTAGAATGCTTTCTCCTGCTTCTATTTTCTGCGAACGCCCATTATTCTCAGATCAACTCCTCTAAAAAACATTTCCAACCTTTTCTTTATCTCAGAAAGTAGGTGTTTTCTACCTTAGTGTTCCTATCTCTGCAACGCCCTTTGGTACATCTCTATAACCTTATATCTTGCCATATTGGTACTCCTTGTATACTATTTATATACTATTTGTCTTACCCACTACAATATAAATTCCTTGAATGGGTAACTGTACCACAGCACCTAGAATGTGCTTGAAAGTCCACAAATAGTAGACAATGAAAGGTGTTGCTATCATTGTTATTATCATTTTGGAGACAGGCTCTCATTCTGTCACCCAGGCTGGAATGCAGTGGTGTGCTCTCAGATCACTGCAACCTCTGCCTGCTGGTCTCAATAGATCCTTCCACCTCAGCCTCCCAAGGAGCTGGGACTCCAGGCATGGGCCACCACGCCCAGTTAATTATTTGTATTTTTTGTAGAGACTGGTTTTTGCCATGTTTCCCAAGCTGGTCTCGAACTTCTGAGCTAAGTCTTCTGCTGGCGTCAGCCTCCCAAAGTGTGGGAATTACAGGTGTGAGCCACAGGTATTATTATTTTCTTTATTATTATTATATGTATTTTTTTACTTTAAGTTCCGGGGTAAATATGCAGAGCACACAGCTTCATTACACAGGCACAAGTGTCCCATGGTGGTTTGCTGCACCTGTTGACACATTGTCTGAGTTTCCTCCCCTCGCCCCTAATCTCCAGCAGGCCCTGGTGTGTGTTGTTCCCCTCTCTGTGTTCATGTGTTCTCACTGTTCAACTCTCATTCTCACTATCATTATGTTCATTGCCCTTATCAACTTAACTTTTTTTCCTCTCTCAGGCAGTCACCTTCTTATCTGAATTTTCTTTGTCAAACTGTGCTACCATTGTGCATCCTGTATCATAAACGAGTATGATTTTTATACAACCACTATTTTCCTATAATTCTAAATACCAAGACTTTAAAATCTAGGAGAAAACTGCAGCAAGTATGCTTCTCTCATTTGCATTAAAATAGCATTCTGTAATTGAGATTTCAAAGTTGAGAAATTCTAAAGCCTTTGTTTAAAAAAATCCTTAGAAAAATTAATCATATTTTTCCAGTTTTTTAAATAAATGAAATGGAAAGCAATGAAGCATAATTTAACAACCTTCGAAATGCACACTCACATTTTATTCCTAAGTTCTTTTATGCTACAAGTTGGGGGCAAAAAACATAGCCCTATCATGATGGTCCTGAGAGAAAACCTCCTTGCTCGGAAAACGGTGAGGCGATCTAGGAATAACCGGCATGCAGCTGTTCTATCCTAGTTTCAGTACAATCAGGAAAAAGGCACCATACATTCGCAGAAACTGTATCTTTCTCTCCTGGATTAACTTAATGAGCTTCTATGGATCCCTGAACAGGATCTTCATCACTCCAGTAAGGGCCAGAGAGAACAGAGCATTTAAATATGCAGCAAGTAATCCTATTCTGTTATAGATCTACACTAGGTTTGAATATAGTGTAGCTCTCCTCTCACCAAACATGGCATTAACTACTCTTTTTTGCTTCAAGTGAACCAGCCACTCACGCAAAACACATTTTTATTCTCATGGAGATAATATATAGGTCTTCTTTATAAAGGGAAGTTTGTAAAAATAATGATGTTATTTAATCAAATAAATAACTTCATTTATCCTTGTAATTTACTCTGTTATTTAACCAAAGGTATATACAACTTATAAGTACATAATTGATTATTGATATGCTCAATTAAAGCCAGTAATTAGTATTTGCAACAGGAGTATAAATATAATCGTAAAAAACTGACTAATCACTTTTCCTTGTTTAAAATTTTTTATCTATTCTAAAATAGTCTTTAGTCTGATATATACAATAGTATTTCCCTACATTAAGCATTTTTCAGTCTTACTTACAAAATAATTGAGTCCTATGATTTGATTTGAAAATGAACTTTTATTCTGAAAATAATTTGACAGAACATAAAACCAAAATCTTTGTGGGTAGTTAAATATTTAATGTTGACACAGTCTTTTTATGACCTATTTATTTCACCTGGGTATGATTCTAGAGAGTGTATGAGCCCCTTAAAATTGTGTGCAAAAATATATATGTTCTTATATCATTCTGGTGTAAAAGGTAGAGCAGTTTTCCTCAGAACCATGACATAAAATGAAATCTATTCATTGTGTGTAAATTTCTCCAAGCAGTATATATTTTAATACTGAACAAATACACATGTGTATGGACTCTCTGAGGTACATGAAGTAATGAAAAGTCCATCAGCATATGCACATCAATATATTTTCAGAATAATAGGAATATTCTTGGTTATGTCATAAAACTATGTATTATAATGACATAACTTTATTATTCACTGTTTCATTTTCCTATGCTCTGGTT